GCTCAGGCGTGACGAGGGCTGGCTTTTGCCGGGCTTCTCTGTCGAAGCTGCAGTGGGGCTGGGGAGGTGTCCTAGCTCAGCCCTTGGAGGCTGTGCTGCGGATGGGAGAGAGCTGGCGTTTCCAGAAGCTGGGGCCCTTGGAGCACAGGTTACAGGCAAAGGCAGTTGGTGATTCCGGGTTGTCTCGTGGCCTGACACAGGCTGGGGCTGGGCTGAGGCCAGGCCACCTGAAGCCACTGGGACGTCTCCCCTTCTCCCAAGGCCCCGTCTTTGCCTGCCCCGGGTCCCTCCGATTCCTCTCTCCGAGAATTTCTTGCACCATCTCATGCAGCCTGGGTCCAGCTGCCCCTCCCCGGCCGTTTCACCTTATGGTCCTGGAGCCCCCCAGGGACTGGCAGGAATCCCTGGGCGGCGGCTCTTCCAGAAGAGATGGTTGGGTTCTGCGCGGTCAGCTGTGGCCGGGGGTGGGGTCATGTGGCCTGCTGCTCGGAGAAGGGGCGGCGGGGTGGAGCTGGCAGGGCCGCCCTGTCCTGCAGGAGGGGGACCAAGGCCCGGGAGATGACAGGCTTGCCCAGGCTGTGGGGTGGTCCCACGTGGCTCCTGACCTGGCAGGCCCAGGACCCTCTTCCCCGGATTCCTGCCCCTGGGGGCCTCTTTCCTGTCTTTGTTTCCGGATAAACGGCCGTTCCTTCTGGGAAGACTCGTGGCCTCTCTCTCCTTCGTCTTACAGCACAGACTGGGAATAAAGGATCATAATCAGCGTAAGAGGCGGGATTTGCTGTGCACTCGCCGTGTCAAAGCCCCCAGCTTGTTCCATGCCCCCGTCCAGGCTGCCTCTAGGATATGGGGCCTGGGCAGATATTCTTTGCAGGATCCCTATCCATTTAAATAATTTGAGTCATTGAAAAATCAGCATGAGGGCAGCAAGCTGGCGGCCCAACATTATGTGATCTGTGAGTGAAACACTCACTGGCCCGTGGGCATAGCTGCCACCAGCCCATCTTCCGGAAACTGGGCTGACCCCACTGTGAACGGTGGCAATCCTCGGGATACCTGGTCGACCCCACGTGGGTCCGAGGGTGGAGAGCACCCTGAGGGGGCAAATGGGGGCCAGGGTCCACACGAGTCCCAGCCAGTGCCTGGGGCTCCCTCCCTGGATGCTACTGCCTGGTCCCAGGAATCAGGGGAGGACTTGGAAAATTTCGAGAAAGGTGCACTCCAACCCACGGGGCCTCCCGAGGTGCGGGGCTGAGTGAGTGGCTGCCCGCCTTCCCCCACCCCCTGTAAGGGGTGAGGAAACCGAGGCTCAGAGAGGCACGGCCGGAGGGAGGCCCCCAGGGGTCCCCACCCGTCTGCAGCCCCCTTGCTGGCTGAGCTCCGCGCTGGAACTGCTCCCTGCCCGCCCTCCCGGCATTTTCCGCCTTGGAGAGCCTCTCCCTGTCTGCCGAGTCCGGGCCTAAGTGCCCCCCACTTTGGGAAGCCTCTCACCCTCAGTCCATCCGCCCGCCCAGCCGGCATCCTCACTCATACCCCACGCATCACAGAGCACCCACACCCCTGTCTGGCCTTTGGGGTGTTTGTGGGGTGCACTGTGATAGACCGGAAGGTTCCCGAGGTCAGTCCCTTCATCTCCATGTCACTGCACCCCCCCCAGCCCCCAGCAGCTGGCACCCCGTGCCCGCGGCCTAACAGCGCATCCCAAGAGATAATGTTGGGGGTGGTAGGGGTGCACTCCTGGTGCTTCATCTCCTTCTATCCCCCACTCTGCCCCACAGTCTCCTCGTGAGGGGTGTTCTAGGGGTGCCCCCGCTTTACAGGTAAGGAAACTGAGGCCTCGGGAGGGAAGCTACTGGCCCACGTCACTCAGCGAGGGAGCGGCAGAGCTGTCCTTTTACCCCGAGCCTGCACCCTCACCTCCCCACCATGCAAAGTCAGTGCCCCCGCCCAGGGTCCGGGGAGCCCCTTGCCCAGTGCTGAGTGCCGGGCCCTGATCTGCCATTTCTCCTGAGGCTGAGGCTGGGGGTCTCTGCCCTCGCGAGACATGCATAAGGGGTCAGCAGAGGCTGAGGGTTCCAGGATGATGGGGCCCACGCCACCCTTGTGCAGCTTCCTCTGTACCAGCCAGGCCCCCCGCTTAGCCTGTCCCAATGGCTCTTTCACGTTCAGTTTGGAGGATTAGCCTGTCCCAGTGGCTCTTTCACGTTCAGTTAGAGGATTCCTGGGCGGTGAGTTGGCCAGCGACCCCGGGTGCCCATTTTCCCCTTTCTCGGTCTATTCTGCATGTGTCTGACCTCTCACAGGATGGAATTCCTCTCGCATGGAGAAGCCAGTCTGGGGGATGTGTGGCTTTGCACACAGTTCAATAATATTATTCCATGACATTAAGAGTGCGCCTCCTTAATCCAATGAGTTCCTTATGACTGCAGTTATTGCAAACGTAAATCATACATTAATAGGGGAGGGGAATGAATCTGAGTCTTGAAGTCCCAGAGGCTCCAGGTTAATAAATTTTTCATGCTTTTCTTCCCCCTTCTCCTGTTACTGAAAATCAAGATTTCCTAGCATCCTGTCTTTGCGGACTTGGGATTCATATTTACCCATTATGGCAATTTACAAGACACAAACAGAAATGTCATTTCTTCCCTGGCCTCCCTGGGGCAGGGAACGGGGCACTGGCCTGGATCTGATGCCAGGCAGCGCCAGGGAGCCAGGGAGTGACGTTTCCAGCAGAACTGGCTAATTCTTTCCTTTGGGCTCTGGCCAGGTGTCAGAAATGGTGATCACCTCGTGTTTCTAAGGGGCCCCTTGACGCTCCGCAGCTGTTTGGGGAAAGGCGAGCCTGGTGGGGGGTCTGGGCACCAGTGGGGGACCGCCAGCTGTGCATGGCCCCAAGAACGCCTTCTCGGTTCAGTCAGTCGATCAGTCATGTATTTGTTCAGCCACCAGCTGGTTACTGTGCACTTTCTGGAGATTTAAAGCGTGGTTGGGGCAGCGGGAGTCGGGAGTGGGGAGAGTGCTGGGTTGCGAGGGGTGAGCGTGGGCATCGCTGGAGGAGAGATGTGGCTCTCCCGCGTGGGCCCCTCAGAATCCTCGCTAGAGGCGCCGTTCCTACCGGGCGTGTCTTCAGAGCCCCCCAGTGTCACCCCGGCGGGTCACTGAGGGCCCTGCAGCCTCAGCCCACGAGATGCTGCTCCACACTGAGAGCCCCCTTCCACCCACCTAAAGCAGGAGCAACGACCGGGCTGTGCAGGAGCCTCTGCCTTGTTCCCAAAGCAGCCAAGGGCGTCTCTGGGCAGACCTGGAGCCTCGGCTCTGGCGTGTCCTACCACGTGGGCTTTGGCAGGTTACCCAGTCTCTGCGCCCCGGCTCCCCTGTGTGTAACATGTGGCGTCAGTCCTCAGCTACACTGCGGTAGCACAGCGCCCAGCGGGCACACCCTGAGCGCCCAGGCAGGGGAAGCGGTCTACCGCTTCCGGTCTACCAAGGATGTGGCCTTTGTCTCCGGTTTCCAAATGGCCATGGCAGCGCCGTCCAGGAGAAATCAAACATGAGCCGCCTGTGCGATTGTTAATTTTCTAGTAGCTGCACCAGAAAGAGAAAAAAGAAACAGGTGAAATGAATTTTAAGAATGTATTTTTACCGAACCCAGCGTATCATCTAGTTCAACATGTAATCATTAGCAAAGTAGCTGACATTCTCTTGCAGAACGTGAGTCGGGTCAGTCCACTGGCCACGTTTGTGAGCTTGCAGCCACATGTGGCTTAGTGGCCCCACGTGGGCAGCCCGGGTCTCGGATCCAGAACAGCATTCTGGGGGCCAGTGCGGAGTCCCCTGCCTTTGAATGGATGATGCTGAACTAAGATTATGTTCTCTAGCGCTCTAAGCTCACTTTTGAGATCCTTGAATAATGTATAATCAGATAATAGAGCAGCTGGTTGAAAAAATTAACACAAAATGGTGCCACTTAAAAAACGCTTCATCAAGCAAACTGAGCCCCAAATGAGAGGCCGGTTTTTAAACTGCCCTGACGATTAGTACCTTGCATTTGCCTAATGGCTCGTCCCTCCCGCTACCCCTTGCTTCCTTCCAGGTGCTCCTGGGAACCTGGAGCTGCCCCCCTACCTTCTCATACCTGCCTGACTCCTGGGTGGGCCAGGGTTTAGGCATCTGCACTGGGGGAGCCCCACACACAGGGCTGGGAGTCAGATTTGCACACAGAAAAACGACACTCGTGAGACAGCTCACCATGGGAGTCCAGAGTGGGGCCGGGTGAATGCCAGCTCAGAAATCAGGGAAGGCTTCTCAGAAGAGGTGACCCCTGAGTCTTGGAGCCCAAGTGGGAAGCGGCTGAAGGGCAGGGCTGGCGTCCCAGTGGAAGGAGCAGCCTTGCCAAGGCCTGCACCCGCAGAGGCGTGGCAGGTTTGAGACACCGCAAGGTGTTTGCAAGAAATCAGAATCATCGAAGCACCCTGGGACGCGCTGGGAAGGACCACCCTCCTCATACCCAGGAAGGCACGGCCTGCATCAGGAGGCCTGCAGAGACCCCCTCCAACTGGGTGTGCTTCAGTGCTGGGGGGTGCCCGGCGTGGAGGGGGTGCCTCAAGGTTACCCTTGCCGGCCGGAGAGAGGGCATCACGCAGGCCGAGGAACAGCAGGGGCGCGTCCGTCTCGGCCGCACGTGGCTCTCCTGGTGGCTTTCTGT